AGTTTGGACAACACTGATATACATTATAGTACTGTACCAGAAATGCATTTCACACCCCTAATGTGATGAATACAAGGGCAATGGGTAAGGCTGGGTTTCTCTAGGATTATTTGTTTTGTTGCTTGAGTTCAAGATTTTCTTTGCTATTGAAAAAAAAAAAGATGTTAAGCTTAATTCGGGATTATGCTGCAGTTTTCATTTATTTGCTGTCTTGGAGAGAAATTATGCCACCGGTTTTCAGCAGCTCCTGTCTTGGGCCTCAGATTGCTCACCTATGCTGTATGGTTTCAAGCCTGCTGTTTCTCAGTGACTGCTTCAAATAGCAGATCTAGTCAATTGACATGAATCTATAGCAGAGGCAAGACTTCTTCCCAGATTTTCTGCTGTCTTCTTGAGTCAGGGCATGGAAGCAGCACCATTCTATTAAAAACTATTTATTGCTGTCATGTGGCCACTTGTTTCCAAGCTTGAATTTCCTGTGTTCCTAGGGAATGAAGGGTCTAATTCTTTAAAAGTTTTTATAACATTTTTTCCTATGATCTTCTAAAATACCAACTGAACTGGCAGCTTGCCTTAACAAACAGAGGCCTTTGCGGGTAGGTGTAGGAGGATACATTCAGGCATTGTATTGAATATGTGAATTCTCTTTAGAAAAGGTGGGACAGTTGATCAGGTCACTTGCAAGCAGGTGGCTTTCTGTTCTTGACCATTTAGTTATGATTTGTGAATTGCTACTTGGGCCAGAGAAACATGGATGCATACGCATGCCTCAAAGTGAGGTCATAAAGTGGATCATTTCCGATTGTGTACTGAAAATTCTCTCTTACAGTCTTTCGTATTAGGAACAAGACAGAAGTGTTGAGTGGAAGCAAAAGCCAGGAAGTTAGGAAAATATTAGCCGGGTCCACACATAACTTTCTAATTGCAGGGAGGGCTTTTAAACATAAAAGAACATTAAAAACACAACACGCATACACACACATCTGACATATGCAGTCCTGCTACTGCCTTTTGCTGTTTGTTTCTACTCTTGCTTTTACTTGAAGCTGTTTATACACAAAGTAGTTGGATAAAACAACATTAAGCAATGAATAAATAATGCAAGACATAAAACCAGGACAAGAATGTCTTAAGCCCACGTTAAAACAGCAGTAAACTTTGAGAGAGAAAGAGAGAGAGAGAGAAGGAAAAAAGGTAGGTAAATTGATTTCAGCCAGTCTTCCCTAACCTGCCACCTGTCCCCCTCCCCAAATATGGGGTGTTCCCAATTCCCAGCCTTGAGTAAGCTTCTTTAACCTATACTTTAAAACCTACTGAAATATCCAAAAAGTACATACATGCAATTGAAGAGCAGAGAATCAGTAAAATTTTGAATTCTTTTTAATTTACTCAGTAGGAAAAGCATACGCGGAAACTAGAAGAGCAGGTAGCTGTTTTGCAGATGAAGCAGTGTAATGAGGAATAACATGGAGCTTGCAAAGGAACTACACATACCTGTGACTCAAGTGCTGTAGGGTTTCCTATTAACAAGAAGCAATCTTTTACAGAGAGCCATTTATTTCTCATCCAACCATTAAACAATCTGAATGGTTTCTGAGGGCACAAATTATATGCCTATAATAACAAATGGCCCTACAGGTCTTGTCAACGTTGTTCATGAACATATCTAGGTTTCTTAAATTGTAGCCTCTGTTGGTTATGCCTGGGGTGTCTCTTTTAAAGAACTGCAGACTCTCAGCGTAAAGTTATAAAATGGCAATAGCTTGTCATTTTGCCAAATCAGTGGCAAGTGATGCACTTAGCTGTAGGCACAAAATAAAGTTTCTACTGCACAGAGCCCTTACTGTGAGTATAGCACACTATTCTCTACATGCAATGCTGCGTATACTTTCAGCATCTGGAGAATGGCTAATGAGCCATTGAACAGCATTAGGAGAGCCAGAGTTGGGCTTCTTGAACTTCTAGGAGGGCCTCAAACACAAGCTGTTGTGGCTAGTAAATTTGCTGGTTAGTTATCCATATCTCAAAAGAGGAAGGTGCAAATTCTTTCAGCAGAAGGGCCGCACTAGGTTTTGCCCAGCACATTGAGGATTGCACACTCAAAGAGAGTGGGGTCAGGAACCATCTGGGTGGGAGTTGCTGAACGCCTTCAATTTGCCCCTTAACCCTTTTCTGGAGAACACTGAAGAATGTTTGGGTTTGTATGTTGGATTGTTTTGTAGGTGATTATTTATTACTGTCTCTTACAGGTTGGGTCATTGTTGCATGTTGTATGTTTTGTTTTATGATGTTAACTGCTGGAAGTCCTCGGTGATTATGGCAGTATTTATTTGTTAAATTTATACTCTTCCTCCCATTCAGTAGCTTAATTCACATATACAGGGCTTCTCCCTCCTGTTTTTTCCCCATCACAACCATCCTAGGAGGCAGGTTGGGATGAGCAAGAGTGACTGGCCCCAAGTTACCCATTAAACTTCAGTGTCTGAGGATGGATTTGAACCCAGGTCTCCCTGTTCCTAATCTATTACCTTAACCACTAAGCCATGCTGGCACTATACAAATTTAATCAATCAATACAATAATAAACCCCTCAAAAAAAGTTGCTCCTCTCATTCTGGTTAGCTCAAAAGGCCACAAAGAGATGCTGATTTGCTGTACTTGTACCTTTTTCTAAAGGATTTTAAGCTAAGATGCCTATAACTATGCTTAGTTTTTATTTACAGAAGAATGTCCATCTATCCTTCCCCCGTGAGGGCATGCTTAATACCTGACATATGTTTCCATATGTCAGGGAACATTTTTCACCTTTTTCATAGGTGACCTGGCTAAGTTTGTTAAGCTGTTGTCTTACCCAAAGCAATCTGGATGCCCTTCCAGTGTTCTTTCTCAACTGAGCACATGTTGTAGAAGAGTTGCCAGGGTGTGGCGGGACCAAGGGCCATATTTGATCTTTGACTGGCTCGCTGGGGGCTTTGTTCCCCAAAGCAATTTGGGTAGGAATTAACTAGTTAGGTATTTTGTGCTCTTGGGGGCCACATCCAAGACCTTCAGGGCCTCAAACTTGGTTCTCTTGCCGTAGGGGATTATATCAAACCTTTTTTTTTTAATCCAAAATAACCTCATTTGTTAAAGAAATAAAAGTATAACTCAAAATTCTTATTTAATAGCACTGAAACAATCTGGGAAGTGCAGAGAGTGTACTTATTCTTGTAGATAAAAGATTCTATACTCTTGTATTGCTTCAGCTTTAGTACTGTTCGCTAACTTTCTAGGTTTTTTTTTTATCATCTCATTTTCTTCTTAGGTGGATTCGCTTTTGTATACGAAGCTCAGGATCTTGGAAGTGGGAAGGATTATGCTTTAAAGGTAATTATCCTTATTTTTCAGGATTTTGATCCTCTGCTATTTATTTTATTGTTGACTTCATTAACAATGACGCTGCAAATAGCAAATATAACAGCTAAGAACAAATCCGTTCCAGAGTTGGCTACTTATAAGTAAGCATACAGTATGTGGCTTTGCTACCAAATTCTAAGGATATGTACCTGGTAATCTCTTTGGCTATAATTTTAGCAGAGTTGCTCTCAATCAGTATATCATCTGCCCCCACTCTGGTGCTTTTCATATGCTTTGGGACGACAACTTCTGGAATTCCAATAAGTATGTGAGATAACATATTGGGAGGGATGTATAGATTGGAGAAGATTGGTCCACATAATGTTGACCTAATAATCGATCATCTGGCTCAGTGTAAGGAGGTTTCTTATCTTCTCTGAGTACATGAAGGAAGCTGACTTATGGAATCTGAAAGCTAGTGTCTCTTGAAGACCGTTGCTTATGTTTAGTGGAATATTGCCTGGATATGTACTAATTGTCAGAATTGTCATTGCACAGGGTAACATCTTTGACTTCAAGCATTTATTGGCAAGTTCATTTGCAAACGTAATGCTGGCTTCCTTTTCTAAATGTTCATTTTAGAAAATTGAGAGCCAGCTTTAGGAATGCACATTTCTGCTTTTCCCATTATTCTGTCTTAATTCTGACTAACTGTAACTGGGATTCATTTTAACTAGCATCTGAAATCTTCTGTAATCTATGTTTCAAGTCCTCTGTAACAAGAAGTTGAGGATGAGGCAAGTATATTCTCATGGCTGGCTCCCAGTTTCCTAACACTGTCTTGCCACCACCTGCATGTAAAAAGCCTTCCTAGATACGTTTGGAAGCCCTTGAGGATTCCTCCCATCCCATCCTTGATGTTCACTTTTCCTGGAATGCCTCAAGTTACCTATGTTCTTATGCATGAAATGAAAGCAATTCCTATAAGGTGGTCAGGAGAACTAGAGTGACCTATAGCATTTCAAGGGAAATGCTTTCTGGAAACTTGTTATTGTTGTTATTATCACAATGACTACTATAATGCACGTATATTCTGCCTGTCTAAAGTGGCATACAGTAAGAATGGCTCTCACTTTATCCCCACAACAAACCTGGGAAATATGTTGGGCTGAGAGAGACTGACTCACCCAGTCATCCAAGGAGCTCCACTGTTCATGAGGAGTTGAAGTTGGGTCTGCCTCTTCTCATCCAGTACCCTAACCATTTCAGTACTCTGAATCATGTAAAGCACCCACTATCTAGTGACATGAAAATCAATGTTATTGTACATAGTGTGTAAATTTTCACAATGCTGCATAGAAACCAAAAAGGCTGTACTTCCATTTTCCATTAGAACATTAATCCTAAGGGGGAAATGAACCCATTCATTGACCGATTAACATGTATCTGCTCTTATGCTTGGTTATCTCGCCTCTTCTTTCTTTTTTGTAATACCTGTCCTAAAAGAATTTAGACACATTAAATGTTGATAGTGATACAAATATCACATAACAGTCTCTACATACAAAGACAAAGGGGAAGAGGAAATAAAAAAGATTTAGCAACTAATTTCCCAAACTTCTAGATCTTTCTCCCAACCTTACCCATTAACTCACTGGTTCAAGCAAATACTTTCTCACTGACTTTGAAAAGAAATGCAAATGAATGCTGAATAAAATGCAAGCATTTCCTTCTTTCCGAGCCTGTAGGACATTTTTCTCTCAAATGCCAGTTTTACATAGTATCATTGTGATTTTCTATTTATTATAGCATGATTTTGCAAATATGTCTGAACTGATAGCAAAATAGTCTCTGAATAAGAAGAGAAACCTTCTAAGCAAGACCTGTTGGCACTGGGTTTTGATTTAGAAGAATCCAAAACTGTTTATAACTGTTGTTAAAAGAATTTCATCAGTTGCACCTTATAAATTGCAAACTATTAACTTTTATTGGAATCCCATAGTGATGACCAATGAACAGAGTAAATGATATTTGGATAATATGAAGCCACAGTGTCAGAGATGCTATTCTAAGCATTAAAACAATAAATATCATGTTATTATGTTCTAATTCTGGAATCAAATGTCAGATTAAGCTCTCAGTGACTGGTTTGAGCAGGAGAGAAAAGCAGGTATGAATATGTTCTGTGTAGCAAAAAACAGCTCGATCATAGTATGGCAAGCGTGGATTCCTGGCTTAAAGTAATATACACTGCTTAGAGTTTATGAGTGAAGTGGCTTAAAAGCACTTAATATACAAGAGACAGAGTGTGTGTGTGTGTGTGTGTGTATATACACATACATACATAGATACATACACACATACACATGACTGTTAGCTCTACATGATTAATAAGTGTTGCATGAGAGCTGAACTTTGCCTCCCTCTGCTAAGTTCTGTTAAAAAGGAATCTGGATCTGCTTCTAAGTAATAATAGATAAGCTGCAAAACAATGTTTTCCTAATAGATTATCTTTGGTGGTACAAATGTTCTGAATAGAAATACTGACTAAATATCTTCTAAAAATATTTGTATTTCTCTTTAAGATCATACATGAATTTATATCTATGAACATGTGTGTGTAGACGTGTGTGTTTACTCCCAACATTTCATTCCTTTTCCTTTCCTTTTGACATTGGCTTATTTTTTTTTCTAATTAAATTCTTTAGTGTATGTTTTTTTTTCCATTTAGCAAAAATAAAAATACCAGGGAGAAGTTTGGCATTAATATTGTCCCTTAAAGAACTGTGTATGAATGCATAACATTGACACCTGCATACTTGAGCCTTTCCTACTCATGAAGAAATAATAACCAATAATAGAATCTAGTGACCATGTTTTGATTTCTGATAAGAGTACATTTTCATGTATTGAGATATTTTATCAGTAAACCAGATGATCTTCAGTTGGAAACCAAGGTTCCCATGAACTGGCACAGTGAAGCACAGGATCCAACCAAAATTTGCTAAGAATCTCCAAGACTTGATTCACCTAGAACTAGAGGTCATACATGATATCCATGTATTGGCCCTTGATTTGCATACAAAGTTTGTGTGATCTGATAACTTGTTTTAATATAATTATAAAAGAAAAAAGAGTATAATTCTTATTTTGGAAAACAAAACAAACAAAAAGGAATTAAAATGTTCTTCTTTGTAATCTCTTTATTTTCCTGGCAGAGATTATTGTCTAATGAAGAGGAAAAGAACAAAGCTATCATTCAAGAAGTCTGCTTCATGGTATCCTTTTACAGAGAGATGAAAGCATTTTATGCTTGGACAATCAAATCCTGGTTTAATAAGCAAGAACACATACGTTTATGTAGCTTCTCATCAGAGCAAAACTTCCATTTATATTTAAACTAGAAGCTATCTGAATGTCTTCCAAACAACTCAGGGTTTGAAACCCAACTTCAGATTGTTTTGCTGCTCATATGAAAGGAGAAGCAGAGGAGTTATGCACAGCAGAGGAGAGATCTGATTGTCTAAATGGGATCTTTGATTAAATATATGAGACAGAGCAAATTTGTTTGACGTTACAGTTGCCTTAGCATATCAGTTCTGTGACTATATGCCTCCTAATCTGTGTAAATTACTCTTCTTTGTAACACTTGGCTTTCTTTTGCCATATTAATCCAAGCCTTAATAATATTATTTTATCAGAAATGTTTTCCTTTCTCCCTCTCTCTCTCCTGCTTTAAATTATACACAGGATGTGGTTGTGTTCAGATGACCTTTAAAAGTTTATCCTAATGTTAACTGGATAAGCCCAATTTAAGCCACATTTGACAATAGGGCACACAGGAAGTGCTCTTGCCAACTTTGCCAAGTGGCGGTGGCATGTGGAGTTGTTGCTCACATGAAAGGAGCAACACATGAAAACTCATATGAGTTTTCAACATCTTAGGCTGGGTCAGCACATGTTTTTGACCATGGTCTCTCTTTCACAATTGGAATTCTAACCCAACTGATTGAACTGTAATTCTGCTATCTAATTGCAAAGTGGTTTTCCAAATAAATAAATCCTTTGAAACTTTAACAGACGTGTTATTCAGAAAAAACTATCTGGTCACCCAAACATTGTCCAGTTCTGTTCTGCTGCCTCAATTGGAAAAGAAGAATCAGATACTGGGCAAGGAGAATTTCTTCTGCTCACTGAACTTTGTAGAGGTAAAGTCACTATTTTTGTGGAATCTCCTTGGCTTGACAACCTAATTCAATGACTCAGCCAGGCTGGCTCTGTTGAAAAAAGACACAGGCAACGTTTCTCAGAACAAAAACATTTAATATCACCAAAGGGTTCCAGGGCCACTCTGCACTTCGAGCAAAATGTATGGCCTCTATTATCCAAAACTTAACTCCTCCCTGTCCTTTTCATTTCTGACCTTTTTGTTTCAAGCAACATTTTGGAAACAGCATTGAGAAAAACATTCTTTTAAGTGTAGTGAAGGAATGCCCACTTTAGCACTGAGAACTTTAATCACTGTTTTCTTTGGAGGTTAAAATTTGCTGATTAATTAATAGGTTTGACTAAGATTGAAGGGTGCAAGTTTTCCTCCTCCTCCTCACCCTTGTCCCAGTGCCAGACATGAAACAAATGAAAAATTAAAATAGATTTGTTTTAAAGTTCTGGGTACAAAGAAAACCTCTTAGATGTATTTTGCATTTCAAACCTGTCATTTTTCTAGCAAAAAGGACCACAGGCTACTGAACCCAAGAGCATGCAATATTTGCTCTTCCCTGTTCCCCCTTTCCCAAAGCTGAGTTATGATTAGAGTATGCTGTAGTACTTGTTTGCTGTTTACAGTCTAATATTGTACAAAATGATGATAGGAGGCCTAGTAACAGATTGTACCCCAAAAAAGAAGCATATGGCTCAGATGGTGGTGTTCCTAGAAGGCACATATAGGGAGCCTCATCTCTTTCTAGCAAAATCTTAGAGTAGAGCTCTACGGATTCTTATTTTTTTCTCCTTCCTTTCAATGTGTTTGCTTGGCATTAGTGCTGGGCTTATCACACAAGAGCAGAATGAGCCAAACCACCCAAGGAAGCAGTGCTTGTGTTAGAAAATATCAAGAAAGTAATGGGATAAAGGGGGTGTTTATGGGCCTCTATTAGCTGTCATCAACATTAGCATTCTGACTGCCTCTTCCCTAATGTGTGTGATTCATGGATTTTATGTTCATAGGGCAGCTGGTGGAATTTTTAAAGAAAGCAGAATCTAAAGGCCCCCTCTCATGTGATACAGTTTTGAAGATATTTTATCAGACTTGCCGTGCTGTGCAACAGATGCACAAGCAGAAGCCTCCTATTATTCATAGAGATTTAAAGGTACGGAATCTAAGTTTTCTCTACTCCTTATGAGATTGAAGCAATGATACTATCAGTTAGGAGCTTGAGTTTGCCTGTAGTAGTCTGAGAAGTGTTGTACTGGAGAGGGAAAACTCTAGGATAGGTTGGCTGAGAATAAGGCAGGGAAGATTAGGCTAGGTTCATTTTTGCTAAGAGTTTTCCCAAACGTGGACATTTGTTCATGAGCAACTTTGAAAGAGCTTGAGATTTTTAAAAGTTAAAAAAAGGGGAGGGGGCAAAATTGTACATCTCTATTCCAGAACTAAGAGTGGAAAAATCTTGAGAATTGGCCATAATGTGTACAGTTCACTAATGGAAGATACATAGCAGAGACATGCAGAGGCTGACTGCAGATGGTAAATACTACTGTTTCTTGTACAGGCTGTGGATTCCAAGGGATTTAAATTGTAGTATAATATTTAATTATACTACAAATTATAGGAGACCCCCTTTATCCAACCTAGCACCTTCTAGTTCCCAGATTCCCAGGCAGTGTGATTACTTTCTGGAAGTTATCCTAGCACATTAGCAGAACCCAGGCAAGAAAGCCTACCTGAAAAATTGCCAGTATATCTTGCTTGTTATCTTTATATAGTGTTGGACAGGACTGAAATTGGAGCTGGGTTTACTTTTCCCCCTTGATTGGGGAATGACTAGGTAGAAGTCAATGCTTGAAGTGTTTCAGAATGGTGTAAATATTTTTGAGGAATTTAACTATGGATTGACTTCAGGTAGAAAATAATGGTATTGTTTAGTGATGTTATGTTATAAAAAATGACATGAACATTACAGAGAATCTCTTGGTTAGGGACCTTTAACAATAGGAGACTTTGTATCTCCTGTATGAAGGAATAGAGACCTGGTCTTGGGAAAGAGGAGGAATGAATGAATTGTTAATGGAATTTTTAAAAAGATTGCTCAGTTTTGAGAAAGAGGAAGAGGTGAAAAGGAACTCAGAATAACCATAACTTGATTCTGATTGGTATAAGATGGAGTAGAGAGACTTGACAGGCTTTCAAGATTCTGGTATTCTACCCTACAACAATAAAGAACATTCCTGAAATCTCTATTGTGCCTGTTTCTTGACCTTTCCTACCTTGAAGAGCTGACATCCTGCATGTTTTAGACCTGTGTGAACATTATATAATAAGCTTTAAAGAGACCAGGAAAAGCCTGGAGCATGGGTGTCATTGTATAACAGCTGGAAAAAGATATAAGTACATTTAAGTCATGAGCTAAATTTGGGAGAGAAAAGGCCCTTTATTGGTTTAATATGTAATACTGTGTCAGCCTTTACTCACAACCAGAAAGGAAATCGGCATTCTTAAAATGTAGATAATGAAATAATTAAAGTATGGTATGAACAATCTTTCTTGTCCCCTACCTCATATGTATTTGAAGAGGTTACCAACAAAACTCAGTGAAGTCCACCAATCATATTGCAACACACCTTTCCATTCTTTAAAATTGAGTTGTATTAGTGTATCCATATGGGATGGAATAGATTCATTAGAACTATGGTTCTTTCTGTTACATGGCGGATGAACAGCATTTACACGTGGGTGACCAAGTGCTCGGTCTTGGGTCTCATTCCCGAAGCCTCTAAAATTATCTTGTTCTTAGTAACTTCTCAAAGATTCTTTGGAACACAGTGTTTATGTACAAACAAGAAAAGAACTGTAAAACAGAATATTTGGGTTTCAAAGTAGGCTATTGAACCTTAGAAAAATGTTTAGTTTAGTGTGAACTTCGATAATCTGTGTCTACTTTGGTGATATGAACACAGATGTGCATGAGTAGAAGCCTTTTAAATGTAAATGTGTATAACTTGTCTCTGCAGATTGAAAATATGCTGATGAGTAACCAAGGAACAATTAAATTGTGTGATTTTGGTAGTGCAACAATTGTGGCTCATTATCCTGATTATAGCTGGTCTGCACAAAGACGGGCAACTGTTGAAGATGAGGTGAGACACCTAACACTGTGTTTTACTTTCAACATGTATTCCTTGGCTTTTTGAAAACATTATTATATTGGAAATAATTCTTAGCCAAGAGATTTACTTGAGTATCATTTACATGGCAGTCTTACTTTTGTTGGTTCTATGCATTGGTCTTTTCAAATTGTTGTTAAAAGACTTTCCAGCATTTAGGTGGCTCGGCTTCAGTTGCTACTGAGTATTTCATTGTTTGATATTCTATTCTCTGAATCATGGTATTAAATACTGTGCTTTTTTGTTTAATGCTTATCTAGCAGAAAAGATGGATATGTTCCATTTGAATAAACTTCTGTGCCAGAACTCCATGTTGGGTTTTCAAAATGTATTCTCAGCCAAGCTGCATCTATTGTTCTCTCTTGTACAGTTCTGTTTCTGAGAACAGCTTTTCAAAGAGTTTGTCTGTTTTTGGCAAGGACTGATAGAATAGGAAAGGGAAATTGAGGTTAGGAACAGGAGCTGTGAAAGGGAAAAACAAAGAGTTATAGATAGGACTGAAATTCCTTTTCCTAACTGTTGGAGGCCAGTGTATTCTGCACACTTGTAAAGACTACACATACATATAGGAGTGTGTGGAAGTTCTGGTCCCATACAACTCCCATCATCTCTTCTTTGGCATTGTGATTCCTTAGTTAAGCAATTTATGAAGGGTCACATACCCACTCTGATGTAGTAGCTCTATGTTGTCCACAGTGAGGGTTGCCTAATCCTTTTTCAGCTGAAGACTGTGTGTGCTAAACAGTTTGTCCTGGGTCAGGACAAAAGCTAAACCAAATTTAATTTAAATTTAATTTAAGCTTGGATGGGGAACACAAGGTGTACCTCTAGTTTAAACTGTGATCTTTTTTGTTCAGAGTATCTGCTGTACCACAGAACTATAGCTCTTTCTCAGAAGACTTGGGTAATACTGACTAGATCCCTTTTCTTCAAAGATTGTAAGGAAAAAAAAAATTGAATGGAACAGTTTTCAGGGCTCCAGTTACTACCTGGCTTCAGATTTGAACCTGAGTATAATCATGTTAAACACAAAGCTATCAATTATTAGCCATCTCTGCTCTAACTTTGATGGATTCCATTTAAGCTTTTATTCCTTATACAACTATTGCGGCTTCTGGTAGGTAGAACTTAATAAAGGTGCATTTTCCCACCTGTCTGTAGTTACTCTACAGAATAGAGGTATTGGCCAAATATAGGCCTCCAGATTATGACAAGACTGTTTCAGAAACACCTAAAAACAACATATGCATACTTACATACACATACAATCTACTGATTTCTCATGTAGTTTGAGTTGTGCTTGTGACTTCATGGATATTCTGTGTATTTTTCTTTAGAACAATATAGAAATGGTTTACCATTGCCTTCTTCTGGGATTTTTGCCCTTCCCAATCTTAGTTGATAACTCTGGGATAACTACTTGAATTTCCTATCCAAGTACTAATCAGGCACTGTAAAGAGTAAGAAAGATGACCTTGATGGAAATATGAGAACTGTTATCTAGGCAAAAGGGGCTGAAATATTTTAAGTCCAGAGCAGTGAGATTTCCTGGTCTGATCTAGCTAGTAGGGCTGACAATACAACAGCTTAGCTGGAAATGTCTTTCCAGACTATACATCTGGATGGTATCTGGCTGGCTATTTGTCCATCTATTTCTATACACATACACAAGTGGTTCTTTAATTTTAATTTTTTTAAAAAAACCATTATGATATGTTTTGCTTTTCAAATCCTGATTTTAACAAATGTTAAATCCACAGTTTCCCACTTTCTTTTGAGTGTCATGAACATAAACATGTTCTGTGGGAAAAAGAGGATTGTGGCTAACATAGTTACAACATTATTCTCTTGTGGGACATGAGCAACTGAAGGTCATTTTCAAAGAATCTAAAACAAATTAAAGGTGTAGCAGAACATGGAAGGATGGAGGTCTAACTGCCTTTCTGCCCTCCCTACCTTGGGGTAGTTGCTTGGTAATTTACGCTGCTGCCATGTGTCTTCCAAGAGGTCCTGCCCTGGTGTCCCCCAGAACCTTGGTTTGTGTGGTGTGTGTATGAGGGCTTCACAATGTGTAAGGTTTCCTGGCAATAAAAAGGTCAAAAATAAAAAGTGAAATAATATTTATATCGTCACCTCTTGGCCATATAGCTTCAGGGTCTGTGACTAGAGGAATCAGTCCTTCTTCCACTCCTGCCTCTACTTGTTAGGAGATAGGTCAATCTCACAGGAGATAAATAAAATCAATTTTTTTTTAAAGAAGATTGCTACAATTTAAATAGTAAAATGCAAATATTGGGTGTTGAAAAAAGAATTACAGAGCTGTTCATATTTAGGAGAAACAATAGCTTGATTTTTAAAAAAAGAAAATCCAGCAAACAGTGTAATGATCCATAAGATGGTGATGGCCTGATACAAATATGATTTCTACATTCCAACGTTCCACTTGAGAGCTGAGTTTCCTCCTCCTTTCCACCATGTTAACAAGAAAACAAGTAATAAATTCTCTGAACATGCCTGAAATATGATTCACAGCTAACATTAAAAAGCCAATTTAAATAGAGCATTAAAAAGTCTGAGGCTTAGCACAAACACAAAAAAACCTGAAATCAAAATCCGAATGTATGTTCCTGGCTAGACTTGTTATTTATTTCTACAGAAGTATAAGAATCCCAAAAGAGATGTCTCCTCTGCTTTCCATTTTACTTGAACTTCTCCACAGATCTCTGAAGATTCCACCTGTCTGTCAGAGGCTATTTGGGGCAATGATGCACCTCACTTGTTTTCCAACTTCCATCTAGTGACTTCCACCCTATTTTCAAAGGAACAAAAACCACTTCTTTTCTATCCCCAGGGGAGGAAGGGGCTGGAAGAATCAAATAGCATCTCTTTATAGTGAAGGTGTTCAACGTCTGCAGTCTGCTTTAGTTAGTGTTATGTAAGTAAGCTATTTTGTCTTGCAAATGGCAAATGGATCTGCTTGCTGTAAAGGCTAGGATAACTTATGAAAAGAAGAGAAATTATTTGCGAAAGAGTGAATGTAAAACTGCATAAGGCCAAAGTTCAACAAATAAGTTATTTTGATGATAAAAATTATAATTGTGGATTCTTTGTGGATTTTATATTGTGGATTCTGGGTTACTTTCCAAACATGTTTAATCTCTAGATTAAGAGTAAAATTATAACTATAGATCTCTTATTTTGTGTCTGCAGGTCACAAGGAACACTACGCCAATGTACAGAACTCCTGAAATTATAGATTTGTATTCAAACTTTCCAATTGATGAAAAGCAAGATATATGGGTATGCATTTTCTTTCTGCATAAGTAGATTTGAGGGTCATGATTTGTCCCTATTGGTTTGGCTTTCTCATTTATTTAGAGAACTTCTTGTTCTTCCCGTACTCTGGTAGAATCCACCAGGTAGCTAATACTAAACTATTAAAATGTACTTACCACCATGCGGTGCAGAGATTAAAACTGAAATAGAGAGCTGCAAAATCTAAAATGGGCAGCTCAAAAAAAGCCAAATAGTATGATGAAAGTAACTTGGGTAAAAACCCCAGGAAAATAGGATAGCAGTAGCTTCGCTTATACACAACACCCCTTTAGAAACAGCAGTATTCCAACCTGTCTTCCAAATTCTGTTCCTGCAACTTGTTCTGTGGGCTTAGTGCTTATCATTGATAAAGCTGCTTAACCTCGCCTAAGGTTTTGCATAAATTAAAAACAGGACGTCCTCTACCTGGAGGCTTAAACTCTAAACAGTGTGACACAGAAGGAAAAAAGGAAAAGGAGGGAGGAGGAAAAGGAAAAGAAGCTCATTTGGCACTGCTTTTGAAGATGTTTGAATGGAAGGAGGCACCCACGGTTCTAACTCAATAGAATGGACCATGCCAACTCATGTTTGCTTCTGCTTTCTAGTTTTATATGTGTGGAACTGATTTGTTGTTATTAAAACAAGACATTAAATCCCACATAGTTGTTCATTATTAATATATTGTGGGATCAGACCCAGTGGGCCTCCTTCATCTGTATGCCTTAACTATTACCTGCAAAACACCACCGTCCCAATGGTTGAATTAATGCTTTCAAAATACAGACTCCAAAACACAGCAAGTTTTCAGAAAGCGGTATCTTATTTTTAGGCACCTGTTGGATAATCATGCTTGTTGAAGAAACACTTAAATCTCTGTCAGGTGCTGAATTGCCAGCCCCTGTGAAATCAGCTCAAAATCCAAAAGGACAACAACGGAAGAGGAAGGATGGTCACTGCTAAAATTGATTTGGCTAAACCTTGAGTGATTTAATCTGGTTTGTCTTGTTAGTTTCTTTTCATAACCTCTTTGTTATTCCCCTGCAGGCCTTGGGTTGCATCCTCTACTTGTTGTGCTTTAGGCAACACCCATTTGAAGATGCAGCTAAGCTTCGAATAGTCAATGGAAAATACTCCATCCCACCGAATGACACAAGATACACTGTGTTTCATGATCTTATTTGTAAGTTTCAGACAGTGACACCAAATACCTGGGGAGGTGGCATGGAAGGGAGGGGAGCTGATGACTTTGCAGAGAATTGTTGATTTTCTTTTAAACCCATGAATGCATTTGGTTTCTGTACCTACAATTGAATGTGAAGGGCCACTCTACATCAGCTATTTCAACCTGCTAGAGAGCAATAATGAGAGCCATTACAAGGTCAACCCATCTGAAGAAGATAGACTAGGAAGAGCTGGTATGCTCTTATTTCAGGAAGAAGACTGGTAAATGTAATGAGATTGTCTTTTTATTGTTTCAGTGTAGTTTAAATGTGTGGCTTCATCCTAGCCACTTCCTAGGAAGTTACAGCAATGATCAAAAGTCCTATTGGCAAACATGCGTCTTTAAACATACTGGAATCTCTTTCTTACATTTTTTTAAGATTCTACTTTGAGAGTGAACCCAGAAGAGAGGCTGTCCATTACTGAGCTTGTCAATCAACTGCAGGAGATTGCAGCTGCTAGAAATGTAAACCCAAAGTCCCCTATCACAGAGGTAATAGATCCTGTTTGGTGAAACCCAGTTCTCAGCTGCGTGGCATCACTTAGCCTATCTTTACTGATCTCAAAAAGCTAGGCAGATTTGGACCTGGTTAATAGTCAGATGGGAGAACCCCAGAACCCCAGCAATGTAGGTGAGGCTGAGAAGAAGGTAGTATCAAATCATTCATTTATTACTGCCAGGAAAATGGCATGGACACACCCAGGAATTGAACTTTACTTGGGTTAAGGATGTTTTAACTTTAGTAAAAAAAAAAAAAAAAAAAAACCTGTGGCAGCAGTGGGCATCTTTTAAAATCTGGGCAGCCCCCTTTTTTTTTAGTTACCCGCTGTAGTCAAGAGGAGCAAGGAAATAACGTGGCAGTGTCATTGGATGGGACAGAACCAATGGTCTGTTTTTAATATTGTTTGGAGGATTGCAAAATGTTGGATATTGATGATGTCATGTTAGAGGGCTTTTGGGAACTGCAAAAAAGACAGATGTTAAGACTGGCTTGTGGGGGTGGAGATTGCATAATTCCTCCCCAAGTCATCCTTTTTTCATTCTGCTTTCTTTCTGCTCCTCCGGGCTATGATTTTCAAAGGTGAAAGAGAAAAGAAAGGTGATGGTGATGGTGTATAGAGCAGAATATGTAAGCCAGTCCTCCTTCATTTTTAATAATTGGGCTTAGCATTTTTCCGTATTAATTAGATTCAATTTTCTGGAGTGCTTGATTTAGAGCTTTATAATAAATCAGAATTTACAGTGATCCTTACATCCTATGTTAACAATCAATTAAAGTGAGTCAGTATTACCTTTGTATTGCAGATGGTCTGTGGGAGGGGAGGAACGAGAGTTCATTTGTGTTCACTCCTGCCATGATGCTTTTTTTTCCCAGCTTCTTGAACAAAATGGGGGCTACGGGAATAATGCTCAGCCTAAGACATCTTCAGCGTTGGTGCCACAGAACTCAAAACCTGCTGGTCAGCTTAACAATATATATAATGCAGGTATGTTCGTAATGGTACTGTCTAAATTCCAGTTCTTGAGTGTTTTACATTTCTTTAACATGTCTGGTATCTTTCTTATGTAGTCTTTCTTATAGTATTTGACAATCTCAGTTCTTATTTTAGTATTGTTATCTGACTTTAAAAAGTTTCCCCAAATGTAGAAGTCCTGATAGGAAGTAATAGAAATCAAGCTTTGAACAGAGTCATAGATGCCATGCTTGAGCTTCTGAAGGAAAGTGGGGTATAAATCTAACAAATAAACGATCAGGTTTGGGGTAAATCATGGAATCCTGTTACTTTCAAACTTGGGAAATTAGCTTATTTACAAAGAACTTTTACAAAGAACAGTTTCAAATCATGGTTTGATAGTTTATTTTGTTTTAACTGACACGTTTTCCAAGTTTGGACCTAAAAAAATAAAACCTCCAGAAGTTTTGATTTGCCACTTTGTTTTGAGTAAAAGGGAAAATGGAAGAGAAAGCAGTCTTCTGTATTTTGTGTTCCTGACAAACCACAATAATTTGGAATAATTGGAGTAAAAAGGGGAAAAGCGATTCTCTCTGATGTAGAAAATCCAGACTGATTTTATAGTCATCCCTCTCTGCTGAAGCGATTAAAATCAGGTTTTTGAATATTTGTTGATGGTATGAATCTGGGAGAAGTTTATTCCGGAAACACAAAATGTATTAAAGGGGAAAGAAAAGTTCTGAACTGCATGGTCCCTGACTCTTGAGCCAAACAGAAGAACTTTAGTCTGGTTTAGATGTTTTTGTGCCCCAACAAATGGAAACCTTCAGAATAAGCACCATGTCACTTTTTGTATGTTTTGTTTATTTTAGGAATATAATAATTATACCAGTAATATCTGACTGCATTTTACATAGTGACACCATTGATTTAAGAGTTTACACTTAGATGTCTTTACATAGAGCAGTGGAGATGGCCCATAGAAATGGGACTCATGTATCTCCTTGAGCTTCATCTTGAAGTGAATAGCGGTGATATGTGTACTTAAAGAACAAGGTCTTTCAGGGCACTTTAGAGACCAACAAATGTATTACTGTATAATCCTTTGTGAATTCAGCCACTTCACTGGATCAGATGTGCCTACTGTTACAGTTTACCTAAATAGTGCATCATTGGCTTTGGAGTCTAGAAACCAATAGGATTTGCAAATGAAATGGGTGAAATTTTGTGAAGTTAACGGAAATGCCATAGTTGTATCAAATGCCAGTGGAAGGTTGGTTGTCTCCCTCTGGAGCAGTGTTACTCAACCTTGGCAACTTTAAGACATGTGGACTTCAACTCCCAGAATTCCAGCAGCCAGCAGGCTGGCTTGGGGATTCTGGGAGTTGAAGTCCACATGTCTTAAAGTCGCCAAGGTTGAGAAACACTGCTCTGGAGGTTTTTAAGAAGACACTGGACATCTAGCTCTAGTGGATAGCTGAATTAGTTTTCCTGCACATTGCAGAGGGTATTCCCTTCCAGCTGTATAGTCCTACCATTCTGTGAACATTTCAAGCATACAGCAGTCCTCTGATCACTTAAGGTAATAGCAGCTGACTGCTATTTGAAATTGAATGCTTTGTTTATTGCAGCTAGTAGGTTTGCTGGACTATCCTTTGCTTCAGAATGTGTGGGTGTCTTAGAAGGGAGATCATTTGCTGCTTTTGTTGAATTATTATAGTTGGCCTCTCCTCTCTGTGTAGAAGAGAGGAGAAATCAAAAGACTAAGACTAAGGTAATACATAAAGAGAACAACTAAAGTGCCCTGCTGAATTTGTTTTTAAATGGAAATACAATTAAATACATTTTCAAATGGACATGTAAGTCTTTTTAGGAACTACGATAAAACTTTAGAGGCTTTAATGATGATTGAATGCCTTAGGCTATAATGCTGTGTTTTTGGCTTTTAGGGCTGATCGTGGCAGAATGTGACCAGTCTTCTGGTGGATTCTTTGATATCCTTCGGGGTGGGACGGAAAGGTTTTTCACGAATATCAAGGATACATCTTCAAAAGTTATTCAGTCTGTAGCCAAGTAAGTAGAAATTTAGCTATGCTGATAGTTCCATTCACTGTAACACAGTTCACCATTCTCAGTGCAATGGGTATTTCATGTAGTACCTTTTTTTCTCTTGTTTTTATTTTATAAGTAATAACCAACGTACAATCTTGTGGAAAGGAAGGCTAGGAATTCTGCTAAGATCAGATGATGAATCTCTGCTGTGGATCCCATCCTTTCCCAAGCTTGGTTGTGAGAATAGAATTGTTGCTTAACCAGATTAAGTCTCAACTAGGATGTACCAGAAATGTTGATAATGGGGAAAAAACTGGAACTCCAGTTCTGAAAAATCATAAAGTCAGAATGTCCCTTGTTCAGGAGAGAACATCGTAATAGTATAATAAAGTACCAAAAGTCAGGTCCCATAGACAAATTGATTTAATTTTTTAAAATGTATTTATTTATGGTCCAATACCAAATCATCAAATTTAAAAATATAGCACACCATTAAAGTCAGGCCTCATAGACATTTTATTGTATAAAGTAAATTCAGTGTTCAAATTGGTTTCAGATTTTCTTATAAACACTTCCTTACTTGTTTGACACATACTCCTTGAACATTCCTAAGTACAGTAACATTTTCTCTGAAAAAAAAATTAATAAGACATATTGTAATTGGCCTACGGGGCTTGACTTTTGGGATACCCTGTATATATAACTCTGGTTTGCCTATCAATACTATGACCATATTTTCTTGGAAAAAATAAAGGACAAACCTGAAGAAGGGGCAAATCTGAAAGAGGTTCTTAAGGATAAAAAATTGTTTATGTTTGTAACTTTGCTTTACAAAGGAAAATTCAAGAGCAAAACCAAGAAAATAAATCTAAAGGTCAGCTTTTTGAAATAAAGGACTGTCCTGAATCTATCAATCACTTGTATCATTTCTGCACTGTCCTGTCACCAATTCTGCAGTAGGCTACGGAAAGAAAGTGGCAACTTTAAATTATTGCTAGGAAAACCAAGGAATATTAGATCTTGAAGCAGAATTGTCACAGTGAATATTTCAGTTGTGGCATTTCCTGTTAATGGCTTCAAAAAACACCAGAAAAATAAGCCTAAATCCAGCCCCAAAAGGCCTGTTGTAAGTTTCAGAGTGAGGAAGAGTGACTTCCCATTCATTAAAATATGCCCAAATTTTGGCAGCAGAATCTTAGCGTGGTCGGATGAGTCAGGTTACCTGATTTTCATAGTCTGACAAAATTAAAGCACCTTTTCTTGTATATTGCATTATTTCTTTCCAATTACAGTGGAAAAAGTTTTTAAAAATTATTTCATGTATTTCAATAGTTTTTACTGCATTTTATGCTCCCATTTCAGGATTATTCTTAATGCTGAAAAGCAGGTAAATAGACTTAAAACCAGCACGCCAAATTTACAGATGAAAATCAACTAGAATCCAGTCAAGTTAGTCCCTTGTGGGTGCTTCATTGCAAACCACCTGACCAGTGCTGTGTTTAGGGTGGCAGGGATGTGAGAAAGTTTGCCTTCAAATCATAGCTGAGAATTGCTGAAAACAGGGCTGTCAAGCTGGCTGGCTTTTCAGTTAGAATCATTTCCCAGTCACCAGTCACTTACATCACGCTGTAAGGCCCAATATAAGAACATAATTGGTCCCAAACATTCATTCATTCATTCAATAAAAAAACCAAATTTCCATCATAAATACAAAAATTAAAATAGACAGCAGCCAAGGAGGATGTCACCATCAGTGTTTGTTAGCACAACCAGGAATTGGGACCCTTCACACACTCTGGGCATGCTTGTTGGGTGAAGGAAGAGAATTCATGAATCCTGGCATATAGCTGGGCCAGACCCATAGCATATCCCCTGGAGCTTTTAAAAGTCTGTTTGGAGGCTGTTCTTCATCTCTAATCTGGCTTTGGATCTAGCTCGCATGTTAGATAACCCACTGAAGGGTTGCTCTGTTCTGTGTCGCCTTAGCAACTCATAGTTTCTAAATCATGTGGGGTTGTGTCGATCATTTCATTCATTCCTTCAGTTACTGTCTGAGAAAAAGTGTGGGCATGGGAACAGAGAGTTCAGAGTGACCCATGTGATTTTGCTTTCAAAAAATGCCAAGACAGGATGCCAAGACGGGGAGGGGAGCAGTGAGATGGGTTTGCATATTTTAGGTCTGTTAAGCTACCTTAGTGCCATTGAGAAGCAAGCCCTGCTTTGCTTGCTTTGCTTTTGTGTTACTGCAGTAAGTTTTGAATACAACATCTGGTGTAGAAGTGAAAATTCCTTCATTGATCCTATGATCATATCAGTCTGTTCTCTCCCAAATCAGGGCAAGACTCTTGTTTACGTGCACTTTTGTATCTGCTCTAGACCAGGGTCTTCACTGGGGGGAGGGGGCTGGGGGGCACATTTGAGATTTTGAACACCTGTAAGGGGAGTTCCCACAAAATGGTTGCCATGGTGAGTCTGGCCAACCACAGAACCCTCATATAACAGAAGATAAACAAAACCCTGGATTGCCGTTACCCACTATTTTATTTTCTAAGTCTGTTCCTTGGGCAGAGGAGCGGTAGGTTATGCTTATGGTGATTTGCTTTGCAACATGCTAGTTTCCCATTTATTTTTTTAAACTACAAGAATATTTTACAAATGACAAGGCAAGAAGCTGAACAAGCTGCAGATGGCACACTGACACTCATTGCTCTCAGATGCTACATTGGGGTTCTAGACCAAAGGTTTTGCGGTCTGCAGATCATTAATGCCTCTGCAGATGATTCATGGGGGAAGATGGTATTCTAATAACATATTCTTGAGGGCCATCTTTCTGTGTCATATTCAGTGTTATATTATTATTTGAAGCTGTAATTTGCTTCACAATGCTGCATTCTGTGAATTGAAGCATTGTTGCTTGGTATGACCAGTATGAATCAATTACTGTTTGCACATTTGATGGTCAGATCAGTGGTTATTACTTCACTGCTCAAGAGAAAGTGTATTTAAAAATGTTGGTTTGTATGGGCTCTGAAGAAGGTTTTGATGACAATGTAATGATCTGCTTAAAGGAAAAGGATGGGAACGTCTATCCTTTGGATATCAGCAGAGATATTTATAATAGTTTTCAGTTTTACCCATCTTCATATGCTTTTATCTTAAATGCACAACTGTGAACTTGGAATGAAATAATATGCTGTAACTTATTTGGTACACTGGAGGGTGAAACAGACATCATAGGATTGGAGAGCCTTATGGACTTTTTTGGATCTTATGTAGCCCAGTGGGTAACTGGTAGCTTTTGAAGTGTAGCTACTGCCATTGCAGATATCAGTAGGAGTAACAGGCACAGTCCTTCATCTCAATGTTAATCCATAGAACAGTGTTCCCATAATTCCAAGTCTACCTGTATTTTTATGCAAAGAAGAAACAACTAATTAGACTGGAGGCAGAATGTACTTCTTCCTCTGCTGTTCAGCAGCCTAATCTAATGAAAAGTTTATGAGGAGGAAAGTCTATTGCCATTACATATTTAGCTAATAGTAAATGAAACTGATTTATAGAGAGGTTCAGGTCCAGTATTCTGGAGAGATTGTGACATCAGGATTAGGCTAACCAATCATAAATCATTTGACCCACATACTGTTCCATGATGTCATTCTGTTGGTGACACTGAACCAAGGTAGTGGTTCAATGTCACTGAGACCTCAAGAAGCTCACTTGGTTTTAGCTTTTCCTTTTCACTAGTCATTCAGTTCTTGAATGCTAGCAGCTGTATTCTGTCAGAGGGAATCCCCATTGGGATGGACTGGGACCGTTTCTTTCAAACGGGGTCTTTCTTGGACAAGGTGAAGCACCTCAGGAGATGTCTTTTTGTTTCATGGGTTGATATCTCATGGGTTATGAGTTATGGGATTTGAGTAGTGACAGTGGGAATAATTCTGCAACATCCCACTTCCAGAAAAAATATCTTACATTCACTACCAGTGCTGTGTTTTAATTGGTGCTTCATGGTCTGAGCCACAGAAAAAGATTGGATGGTGCAAGAACTCAAAAGCTGTTGATTGTTAAATATTGTCAAGCTAATTTACAAAATACTTCCAAAATAGTCAACATAATTCTTACAGTAATCTAGGAAAAACTATCAAAGTTTTTACTGAAGTGACAAAATGATCGTGTTAGTTTCTTTGCTGTTCATGGGTAGTCTAATACAGCAATGGTATTTGCACTGTTATGCAGTATCTTTTATCTTTACTAAGAATCCAAAGACTCATATATTTATTCTATATATATCCAAGATTAGAGGTGTGTGCTTTCTTAATGGGTGTTCTCTTATATAATACAGCAAAGTCTGTCCACTTGTATATTATACATCGAGTTCTATTTTTAACCCCCCAAAATGGGCTTATCTGAAATAATTTTGACTTTTTTGGGTAATTGAAGCAGTAGATCAGATATTTTCCAGATGTTTTGGAACACATGCTGGCTGGGAATTCTGTAAGTAGTACTCTTAATACAACTAGAAAGCATCTGGCTGAGGGAGGCTGTGGTATATAATGAGAGATCAGATAAATCTAAATTACTGAGTTGGGATAGTTTTTCATATCTTGTGAACATTTATAACTTGACCCAAGCACTCTTAGCTGGAAACAAGCAACATTTTAATTGATAGAAGTTACAAATAAACATATGGAGAATTGCCGTATCTCTCAGAATATATCACGGAAACACTGTGTATCAATGTGGCATCAACAGCATGTATGAAAATAGTTGACTAAATTTGGGAAGAGTTGTCAATACAGTATTGGCTCCCATCCATAGTGATGGCTCTTGTTATTCATAATGGTATTAATCCAACTTAAAGGCTCAGGCATTTGCAGCAAAGAAAAGCAAAAGCAAGATTTGGTTTGGGGAGTTCAATTTTTTTCCCATCTTTGGTTTGGTTTTTGGGTGACTTCTGCTTTGTTTTGTTTTACATTTTGACTCTGTGTGTGATGCTTATTTCCTTGCGCATTTTTCCCCGTCGCCTCTCATCATTCCATACCCATGTTTCTTAGCAGCCCAAGGTAAATATGTCTTCAGTATGTTAGTATGTGTACTGTATGTGCATGCTAACAGCTCACTTACCAGTATGAAGCTTGCTATGGAAAGGTTTCTGAACTCTCAAGTTATACATGTGGCTTGTGATCTCTGCTCACTGTTTTAGCACATGCATATGGGTAGACCTATATGACTTAAGACATTGCTGGTAGGTTCTCAGTTACATTTATAGTTAGTATCATATTCTTAATGTGATAGTCCTGGCACATGTATAACTTTAGAGCTTCTGTTTTGAATCAGAATTTAATAATACATTGCTATGTCTTGTACTTCTGATTTTTTTCTCCTCCATTAGGGAAACAGATAGTAGGAAGTAGATTGCTGTCAAATATTCTCATTGAAATCTTTGATTTCTTGATTTCGGTGTCATGTTTAGGGCTTGAAAGAATGGGGGTGTGGTGTGTAGCCAGATAAAATAAACTTTGTGGACCACGTTAAAGTAAACTAACACATTCAAACTAAAATCCTTTTCCGAAAGGCTCACTTTCAGTTATTGTATAACACCAAATAAATTGAAATCTACATACATTGTATAATGATCTCCATATAGATTGTTACATGGTCAATTCCCCACAAAATGAAAAAAAAAAGTTGTTGCAAACTCTAAAGAATAGAAAAAAATGGTTCCATGCAAAACTCTGGCTTTGGTATCCAGGCCCACTGAAAAATTTAAGCTGGTGCACAAATCTCAGAAATCCCAGTTAGGTTGCCCTTTCTTTGTTGCATTGGGTAAGATTGGGCAATTGATAACCCAAGGGCTTGATGGATTCTTGCCCTTTTGCCCACAGCTCTATTCATGTCAAACTAAGTAAGAATCCACTGACTTGGACAGCAGTGATCCTTATACACTTTTGTTCAGGGGACCTTACCAAATTGGTCAATTGTTGAGATTATCAACATCTCAGAAAGCGTTAACTAAGATGCTCTAGGCCTAGGCCAGCCTTCCCCAATCTGGCTCCTTTGAAATAGTTTCAGTTGCAGTGCCCATAATTCCCAGACATTATGGCCAATGCCTGACCAGCAGAAATCTACACGTAGATCCTTCTTTGGAACTGTGCTATACTGAACTGAAAATGGGGGGTGGGTGGGATTTCTCACATCTGTACATCACTAGATAAGAAAAAGGAACTTTCCTGTTATATGGGAGCTTTTTGAATATACAGGGACATTTTCAAAGAAGGATCTCCCCTGCCCTTTAGCTATGCAGTCCATGTCATGGCTCAGGAAGAATTGTGCTCAGTGCATAGCTTTGCTGTGAAGCAAACTGGTGAGGAGATCAAGCCTCGGTTGATAGCCCTTATTAAAGGAAGATGGAAATCCTCAGCATAAATGTGGAAGCCAGACTTCAAATAGCTGGTTAAAGAATTTGTTAGTTTTGTGTGTGGACGTGGATGTTTTACTTAACTTCTCTACCTTCCTAAATCTGTTTTTCAAACTCTAAACATGCTATCCTCTAAGGAGCCTAAATACCATCTGTGCTGACCTAAATTAACTTGTTTCTGCATAATATTGGTTTTTTCCTGTTCACTGTTTGAGACTGATTTACCACTATGTTACACTGTATAATTGACCATCATTTTATAGACTACTCATTAAAGTGCTAATCTGTGTACTGTACAGCTTAATGCCGTTCACTGCTATTCTACTACTTCCTCCTCCTCCTCCTCCTTCCCTCTGTAGCCATTTCGTGTCGTTTGCCTTGATCTCTATAGCACAAAAGAGGGTTGGGCTAGTGCAGGATTGAAACCACTTTACTCATTGTGTCTTGAAGGACTTTTTGTTGTTGATGTAATAACAACCTAGCCTATTAATTTCACAGAACTTTGATATAATCTAAGAAGAGGGAACCTGTGCCCTCCAGATGTTACCGAACTGCAATTTCAGGCATACTTCACCATTGGGTATGCTGTGGGAATACAGTGGTACCTCGGGTTATGAACGCCTCTGTTAACGAACTTTTCGGGTTACGACCAGCTCTGGCCACAAAAATTTACCTC